AAGTTAATGTTAAAGTTAATGAGTTTAAAAAAATTTCTTCCCTTGATCAATTTAAAAAAAAAAATAAAAAGTAAACTCTTGATAATTGACAATGAACTTGAAACTTTTAAATAGGAGTAATCACTTGTTTTTTACTTGATATTTAATTTATTTTTAATATATTAATTTTTGATTTTAATTTGAATCTTTACCTTCTTAAATTATCTCATTTTTATTTACTATTAAAATTTGAAATCCTAATAAAAAAAAAAAACTAAAAAAAAATATTAAATTATAATGAAAAATATATAGATATTTGTATTTATATATGTACCTTACGCATATATTATATTGTGATAACGGATTTTTTTTGGTTTTTTGGTTTTTTGTTTTGTTTGTTACTTGTATTTTTGTTTGAAGGGGCTTGGCGATAAGACTGAATTTGTCTTCTTCTTGCCCCAGCCGTGTATATACAGTTTTTAAAGTCTAATTTTGTAAATATTTTCTTTATGGCGAAATATATATATTATATTAACCAATCACATTCCACTTTTAACAATAGTTTTTTAATGATGTTGTTTCAAAATCTCATAAGCAATTGCAGCGTTGCAAATAAAACATGGAAGTTTGAAAAGTTCGTAAACAATATTAAAGGCGAGTTTCCACTCATCCGTTTTTTTACGGGAACGGGAAAAGGACGGGAAAAATAATCACGTGGGCATGCGTAGTATAAATTTTAATATATCCGAAGGAAAACTACGCATGCTCACGTGATTATTTTTCCCTTTTCTATCCCGTTCCCGTGAAAAAACGGATGAGTGGAAACTCACCTTTAGAGTTTATATTTAGACGACAATGTTACATAATGAAGTTCATATTAAGTGAACGCTTCAAGTCTTTGTCGGTTCTACCTACATTAATATACATTCTAACATTGTGTGCAAGTCATGTCCCCTTTCTCAATGCTATCTTTTTAACACAACTTCTTGTCACACAACTTATTGTCTTTCATTCTAATGTACCTTCGTTCTTCCCAAACTCACTTTACTCTTGGTCCATAGGGCAGGGAATGACTCTTTTTAGGGAGCTGAACTTGTCTTTGCTGGGCTTGGTAATGTGGCCTCCACAAAGCAATTAGCTGGCGGAGAATAAACCACAATATATAAACAATATTTAGAGTTAGTTTATTGTTATTTTTTTATATTGTGTTTTTAAACGAATAATAATAATTTTCTAGATTAGAATTGAATTAATAAATGTCTAGATAAGAATTAGTAGTACTTTTGCCATGTGTTGATTATCTCTATATTTAAAATTATGCAATTTGCTTTCAAATCCAGCAAAAATACTACAACACAAAATAAAAGCCCGGAGGGATTAATTAAGTTCCTGGCCGAAAGAACATTCTTAAAGAATATAACAAACCTAGTACTGAACAGACAAGCAAACAATAAGATTTAAACAGGTAGTAAAAATCATCTAAAACTTAGATATTTAAACCTATAATTGAGGTGTGCAAAAAGCAATTTCTACGTCTTAATCGTGATTTTTGTTGCAATTAACTTCTTAATTGATCGAATAGTTGTTAAAAACCTATCCAATAAAATTTTAAGAGATTATTCCACTTCGATTAAAGCTTTCAAAGCTTACAAATTACATTTCAAATTTTTTTATTTTTTTGCAAAAGCGCTATTTTGACTTACCGGGTTTGAAATCATCGGCTTCGTTCTCCACAAGCTATTAGGCCGGATGAGTAAAAATTAGAAATTTCTTTTTTAAACTTAATAAGTTCTACTTAAGTTTTTATTTACGTATAGCTGAGCAATTACTGAGTAAATTACTCAACTTTACGTGAATAAAAATTTGAACAAAACTGCTAAAGTTTTTATTAACGTAAAGCTGACCAATTATTGAGTAAAAGCAATTGCTCATTTCTATTTACCCGGCCTATTATATCTTTTTGATATAAGAAAACGAAAAAATAAAAAAGTTTCAAAAATAATCTACGGCACACATCTATAAACTAAAAAACGAAATAACAACTAAAATAAAAAAAAACTTGCTGTATTTTATCTAAAATATTCTTAAACAAACCTAAGAAATTGTTCAAAAATTAAGAATGGCAAAATTAGTAGGTATTATTTAATTGGTAATAAAAAATATGATTTTTTTTATAAGTAAAACAAATTAGCAATAGTAGTTCTAACAATTCAAAAAACCATGATTCCAAAAGCTGTCATTCTGCAATTCTTGGTGGTGGTCACTTTGGTCGAGATAAAACATTAGAAAAACTCTTAGAGAGGTAACACAGGAAAAGAATGGTAAATGATGTGAAGTGTTTGTGTGAATGTGAATTTTTTGTAAATATTGTGATAAATGTCAAAGATCAAACAGATATGTTAGTTAAATAACTTACTTTATTATTTAAAACAATGACTACAATGATAATTCTAATTTATAATACTACAGATTATTATCTAAGTAATAACAAAAATTAAACCTAATTGTAAAAAAGTATATCATTTTCAAATAATATAAATTGATAAATAATTATTTAACTAAAATTATAATTTGTAACCAACCTTAAAATATGCATAACTTCTATTATTTCTTTCATAATATACTTTATAGAGCATTTGAAAAACACTCAGCTGAACTACATGTTATTAAAGTTAAAGAAAAAGTATGGGGTACTGTTGGAATCGATTTAATTGGATATCTTCTTTAAACAGAAAAAGGAAAAAAATACATCATAACAGCAGCCTGTTTATTCTCCAAGTGGACTGAAGCTGCTTCCTTATTTAATAAAACAGCTAAAGTGCAGTAGAGTTCTTGTATACACGTTTTACCTGACATGGTCGTTGTGAAATTCAGAAAGGTGATCAAGGAAGAGAGTTTGTTAATGAGGTACTGTGTTGGATTTTGTTTATTTATTTGACTTTTTTTTTTTTGTTTATTTTTAGTTTTCATTACTTTTTTAGAAAAAGCTCTATTTTTTGTAAAACTTTTATGATTCTAAATTTTGATAAGTCATAAAATAAAATAAAAAATAAAATTTTGATATATCAGAAGAGTTTAGAAATTATTCATTTAAATTGATAAACGAAATGAGAGCTAAAAAAACAACAGTTAATCAGCCTCATCTGCTTATATAAAAAAAATTTTCTTAGGCTTTGTCAATATTTTGCACAACACAAAATTTTTTATGCCAAAACTTGCTGAACATAATTCTTTTATTAACTAATTTTTATTTATTGGTGTATGTTATACTTGTTTATTATTTAATACAAACCCTATACAGGCATTTTTTACAGGCCATTTTATAATGAGTCCATTTTTAAAAATTATTTCTCTTCATATAAAAAGTTTGAATTTTTTGTTTTATTTAGGTAAACCATGAATTAAATAAAATGATGGGAACAAAGTGCAATGTTACAAGTACGATCACCCACAGAGCAACGGTCAAGATGAAAGGTTCAATCAAACTCTTCAGCATCAACTCTTAAAATATTTTGATGAACAGCAAAACACGTGGGATCTATACATTGAGAGTATTTTGTTTTTATATCGTGTCTCTGTTCAAGACTCTGATAAACAAACCCCATTTTATTTAGTTTACGGGAGACAAACTAGGCTTCCGTTGATTTACAAAAAAAATCTATAATAAATAATTTTGAAAATAAACCTACAATTGATGACAGTTTAAAAATTAAGAAAATCTATTAAGAATTTATATATTAAATCTATTAATAATAATATTAATTAACTATTAATAATAATATTAAATCTATTAAGAAAATCTATTAGAAAAGTAATTAAAATGCGAAAAAATGCACTACAAAACATTGAAAAAGCTTAGGAACGCCAAATAAAAAGCATATAATGCCAAGCATAATAATAGTAATAATAATGTTAACTGTACATATAAAAAGTACGTGAGTCACTCAACTGTAGTTGCGTGACTAAGTACTTGCGTGACAGTAAAATAAAAAATACTAATGAAATTTGTGATGTAACAAAATAATAACAATCCAATTTTTATTTAGAATTGGCCTTCTCATGTTCCTTGAGTTTATTTTTAAAAGTATTAAATTAACAGAGTTAACAACGTCATAGGTTAGACTGTTCCATTTATTAACAATCCTATTAGTAAAGTAATGCGTTCTTGCTTCCGAAATACGAACATTTTATTTGTGCAACCGTTTATTATGACCTCTTAATTTTGGATATAAGTTGTTTATTGGAGGATTTTTTCCAATTTACTTTATTAATGTCATTTTGAATTTTAGAATATTCTATTATATTATATTATATTCTATTAATCCAAACTCTTTTAATCGCTCCACATATTTCATACTTTTTAACATCTTATTCTTGCTACTCTTTGTTGTACTTGTTCTATTTCAATGATGTCTATTTTATAATAAGGATTCCAAATTGGTGAAGCAAATTCCAATTGGGGTCGAACTAACGAACAATATAGCAGTTTCATTAGGTTTTTATTTAAGTATATAAAACAATGTTTTATTTGACCAAGTATTCTGTTTGCTTTTCCTGCGATCATATCTATATGATTTTTCCATTTTATATCATTAGATATTAGGACCTCTAAATCTTGTTCCAAAGATGTTTTTATCATAATTTAATGATTTTTATTGCTCGTTGGTTGGCTCATATAACAATTATAGCGAGGTTATTTTTCTCTATGCATAATTTTGTATTTTTCGTTGTTAAAGTGTAATAATCATTTTTTATTCCATTTTTTATTTTTTACTAAGGTTCAAAAAATCCTCTTGTATTGCATAGTTATCGTTGATATTTGTAATCGCCGAAATAATTTTTGTTTCGTCGGCATACAATTTACAGCAATTTTTTATTTTTTGTAATATATCATCAATATAGATGACAAATAATAGCGGACCTATTACTGAGCCCTGTGGCACTCCACTTGTTACCTTCCATTCTGATTTATATGTACCAAGGACAACTCTTTGAATTCTATTAGTCAGATATGCTTTAAACTAGTTTACTAAAACTTCATATTCACAATATGCTTTTAATTTTATTAACAATCTTTTGTGTGTAACTGTATCAAATGCTTTGGAGAAGTCCAAAAATGCTATATCAATTGAAAAACCAAGTTCCACAGACTGTGCAATTAAATCTAAAGACTCTAGTAAATTTGTGCAACAGTTTTTACAACGGACAAAGCCGTGCTGCGAATTAGATTTTAATTTATTTTCAACAAGATGTTCCACCAAAGCGTCTCTTATTATATTTTCCATTACTTTGCGTACGACAGACGTTAATGAAACAAGACGATAGTTTGTTGCTTTCAATTTGTCTCCTTTTTTAAGTATAGGGATAATATTTGCACACTGCCATATTCTTGGAGTTATGCCACTTGAGTAGGATCGATTAAAAATAGTTGACAATGGATTTGAAATACTGTTAGAACATTCCTTTAAAACTCTTGGGTGCACTTTGTCTTCACCAGTAGATTTATTAACATTCAATTTACTTAACTTTTTAATAACAGTGTCAATATTTATATCCGGATTTGCAATTAATTTAGGTAATGCTTTACTAAACGTTGGTACATAGTTGTTTTCTTTTTGAAAAACTGAATGAATTGTTCAAATTCAGAGTTCAAAGAAACATTGTTCAAAAAACTAGTTATTTAGAGTTTGCACTCAAGTGTTGATAAAAAATAGTAAAATACTTTCCAGAAAAGGTTCAAAGATGGAGCCAAATTGGACTGGCTCATACAAAATTTGCCAAATTTTAATAAAAATAATACTTTTTCGTTTATGTTACGTAAATGATTGCAATAAGAAATTATACAAGTATACAATATGACAATATTATACAAGTATACAAATATAACTCGTTTGGAGATTTATTACCCGAAATCTGAAAACATGGTTTTAAATAATATTGTTGAAATAATTATGAGGAAAAGTCTAAATCTATTTCTGACCAACTTTCTATTTTTACATTGACAATGAAAAAAGTTATATTAGACGGAAAAGAGTTGACTGACGAAGATATAAATTTTGCTAAGTTGATAATAAAGAAACAATTTCCTGATACTATTGGTTTGGAGGATACCTTGTTGTCACAGACTGATAGATTTATGGCAGTCAGTACAGATAGAATTTCAGTTTAGATTCACTTTATTAATTCTCATTGGGTCACTTCATGTTCTATAAATGGATCAATTTCACTTTATGATAGTATGTATAAGAAATTAGATTCACATCTAATTAATCAGTTAGCTAGATGTTACAAGAATTTTGACAATCATGATTGTGAATTTCTACCAAGTATTGTTGTAAACATTAAAAGTGTCCAACAACAGACTGGAAATTTGGATTGTGGATTATTTGCTAAAGCTAATGTTGTCCACTTGGCTTTCCGTAAACAACCAGAAAATTTATCATATGATCAAAAGTTTATGAGACAACATCTTGATAAAATGTTTTATGCAAGACAGTTTAAACCCTTCCAATTACTCGATAAACGAAGTAAATTTAATATTACGCGTAACAATTCCTCAGCTGTTAATGTTCAACTGCATAGCACTTGCTTAATGCCTTGGACTTATGATTTCATGGTTGCTTGCTGCAAATGCCTTAAATGGTTCCATATTACATGTGTCCAATATAAAGAAGACAATTCAGTGCAGGAGTGGAATTGCGAAATATGCAAACTGTCATAAATGTTTTTTGTAAAATTTTTTTAAAAATATATTAAATACATTTTATATATATATTACAGTTTTATTATAATTATTCAAGTCAGCGTATTATATAGTGTGGCAACAAGATACTTCAAAAAAAGTTCATTAAAAGCTAGAAATATTTACATAATTAAATATATAAAATAATTAGCAAAACTAATTAATTTATATTTTTAGTTAATGTTAATAAAAGTATAATTATCAATTATAAATATTTTTTTTCATTATTCCAAGGGTTACTTTTATTTTGAAGCTTACTTAAAAATTGATTTAAAGAGATGATTTTATTAAAATGAAATGAATACAAACTATGTATAATACCTTAATAATTGTAAGTAAATTTTAATTAGAACTTCATAGTATGCTTATTTAATTTAACCTGTTTGTGAGGCAAAAAATTGAAATTTTGAAGAAACATTTTTAGGAAAGATTGACACTAATTGATTTGCTTTTTTCGGCGGCAAATTTTCCTGCGAGCGGCAATATTTCCTGGGATTTGATGCAGCTGAGCAGCAGATTTTCCTAGGAAATTATGCTGCAACCCCAAAATTTCCTGTGACACCGGTTTTAGCTGAAATTTCAATTTGAACTAATATCAAAATTTCGGTTTCATTACTTTTTATAAATACGGTAAGAAGCAAAATTTTAGTTGAAAAACATATCGAATATTTTGTATGATTTTAAATTTGTATTTAATTTAGAAAAATAGTTATTTTTGAAAATTTACAAAAAATTTTACCATTTCTAAATGAAATCTATACCCATCGTTCACAAATTTTAATATTGATATGGTGCATCTGGAATTTTGATTTATTTTGTTTACCGCGGATTTCCTGTTTCGGAAACAGGAAATGTTTTTAGAGTAACATTGAATTATTTTAATTCAGCTATTTTTATCACTTAGCACGTTTATTAAAAAAATGTAAGTTTTGATTTAAGATGACAAAATTTGTTTTTATCTTTTTACAACACAAAATTATATCAAATAACTTTTAATTTGTGAGACACCATATAAGTAAACTATGTCTAAAAAAAACAAAACAAGTAGTCTTATGTCCACCTTGAAACAGCCGTGATATGTTACCTATCTTTCTTACACGTACTACTATCTAATAATACTTGCAACAACTACAACTAATTGGTTTATATTATTATTTCGCTTTTTCTTTAAATATATACACACTTATAATAAAAGTTAAAAATTAAAAGTATATATATATATATATATATATATATATATATATATATATATATATATATATATATATATATATATATATATATATATATATATATATATATATATATATATATATATATATATATAATTAAATTGGTTTATATAAAAATAACGGACTAACATTCGCGTCAACAAGTTGATTTGTAATCAAACATTCAATAAGCCAAGCAAATGTGACCACAGGTATTTCATAAACTACAGAAGCATCCCAAATAACACTGGGAACTTTCTCATTTAACGTTAATATGTAGTCCACATTTAATAGACTAAAATTTAAAACACGAGTTTGTTCTGTTACAAAGATTCCTGGTGCTACACGTTCACAACCAGCTTTTGATAAAACTAAATTAAAATCTTTGCTGTTTGTTTTAGTATCTTGATGCACGTATATCTATAAAAAAAAAAATGAAAACGAAAATAAAAAAAAAAATTAAAATCAAATGAACTATTAATCAACTTTTCACGAAATTTAAAAACAAAATTAAAAATAGTAATAATCAGGAATCACATAAACGCGTATAGTACTAGTGACCTTTTGTTAGATTATTATCAGCATCAGCATTAATAAGAGGGTTTCCTAAAACTTGAAAATATAAAATTTTTAAAAGGTTTTGCAAATACCAAAATTTTGCTCGTTGGCTTTGTACCAAGGGCAGTTAAAATAAATGATTTTTTTAAGTAATAAGTATTTATAAAAATGTTTTAGATATTATAACTGATGTTTTAAAAATTTGATATTAAAGAAAATTAAACTTTAACTCTTTCGCGACTGAGCTATAAGCAGCTACATGGCTGCGCGTAAAATAAAGTACTAGGAAAAAACTTCTAGTCAGAATTTTAAAAACAAGACCTTGTTATTTTTGTCTAATAATTGACCTTCAGAATATCCAAAAATTAAAAAAAATTTGTTCATCTTAGTTACGTGATAAAAATTATTTTAAAATTAACAAAAATATATAGTTTCTTTAAGTAAACTTAATCAAATAAAAAAGAAATAGATATACATATCATTTTTGATATTAAATTAATGAAGCCTTTATAGTGCTGATCAAACAAAAAAAAAAAAAAAATATCCACCACTATCATTGAAAAAAGTAAATGATTTCTTTTATATCAATATCTGTTTTTCGTTATTTTCTAAAATTGATTTTTGAGCGATCTATAAATGCAATTAAGAAACGGTTTAAAGCATTAACTAAAGAAATTATTCACAATTCAAAGATAATTTTAAAGTTTTGCTATAAATGTTTTGAAATATTTAAAATTGTTTATGCACCGTTATGCGGGTCACTCGTCATTTAGATACAAATTTTATGAACCGCCATACAGGTCACACATCACGAAAGGGTTAAAATCAATTTACAAAATACTCATTACAATTTTTTACAAACTACTTTAAATATTTTTTAATACATTTCTGAATAACTTTAGTATCAGATTATTTGTTACTTCTGTATGAAATTTTAATATGATTTTGATAAAATAAAAAAATTTAATGAAAACTATTTAACTGCTACATTCATTCTGACCCTTTAATTATTACAGGAGGGATAAAAAAATATCAGAGACAAAGGGCAGAAAGATCCGAAACAACTTTAATTATTACAGGCAGGATAAAAGATATCAGAGGCAAAGGGCAGAAAAATCCGAAACAAAAGGACAATAGAAAGGTCCGAAAGAGACAAAGTTTAATAAAGACCTCAAAAAACCTTACTTTTATTTTTGAAGAACTGATTTTCAACTAAGGTTAATACAACAAAAAATCAATTCTAACTGTCTAATTCTAACATAATTCTTTTCCAATATCTACTGTGGTTCTCGATAAGTATAAATTTCTGACCCTAGCAACATATTTCTGACCCTAGCAACATATTTGGAACTTTCAATCTACAATTATCTTTGTGAAACATAACACATAAAAATGTGAAAAATAAAATAAATGAAAGGTTAAAAATATTCCTTGATGTAAAAATTTTTTTTGAGTTTGATTCAAAATACAGTGAACGCTCTATATAAGCAACTCATTTTAAGCAATTTAAATAAAAAAGTTTCTTATTGGGAAAAGTTGCTTATAGGAAAAAAAGAAGTATAAAAAATACTTACCGTCTGGAAAATATAATTAAATATTTCTTTTACTAACTAGAATAAATAAATTCAGTTTTATTTTTCAAAAGAAAACATTTTATCATTATTATTGTCATATATCAAATAAACGTAGTTATTAATTACATTAAAAAAAAAATTAAACAATCAAATTTTAATAAATCCTTATTTTAGTACAACACTAATTACCATAATAAACAAAAACAATTACATATACATGTTCAAGATAGCTTTTTCGCTTATTTTTTAGTAACAAAAGAACCTCATTGCAGGGTAAGTCATTTTTCTCTTGCACATTCTATCACCAAAGCATTTATAAGATCATTGATGTTTTTATTAGAGTCATCCGACATTTTTTTTATATTCTTCAACAGGGGTAGTTTCACTTTTAACTTCAGAATTTTCTTTTAGGTTAAATGGATGATTTGCTTCGCTCTTTCTACTTACCCACTTCATAATTTTAATATCTGCTAAATTACAATCATTAAAAATGGATTTATACAATCTTGCCCAGGGAATATCTTCTTCTGAAAAGTGATGGAATGTTGTATTAAATTTCGTCACTTGACGAAAAAAGATGTATAACTGACATGAGAGCTTCATTCCGCGCCTGCACCTCTAAATAAACAACATCTTTCAAATTTATGTTTTTTAGTTCTAAAACTACTCCATCTTCTGCATCTGAGGTTGCAACACATGCAAGTAGATGTTTGCGACATCGTTGTTTTATCGATTTTATCACATTTTGATCTAGTGGTTGCAATAATGGTGTTAAAATATTTGAGTTAAGTCCCCCTAGTGTGTTACTAGGGAGACTTAACTCAAATATATAACTTTAAAAATATACAGAACAATTGAACTAAAAAAAGTTGCTTGTACAGAGCTTCCTTATAAAGAATGTTGCTTATAGAGAGGTTGCTTATATAGAGCGTTTACTGTATTATTCTTTTAACGTTTTTAAAAAGTTGTTGATTTTGGAGTATCTATCATTATATATGAAAAAAAATGATTAGAATAAATTACAGAAATATTAAAAAAATTGAGACAACTGTATAGCTTATTACTTTATTTAGATTCTGGTGGGGAGGGGGAGGAAGGATGCATACAACAACCCCCATCCTCCCTAGATCCGTCACTGCTTAGAGTGCAGTTGATGAATGAGTCAAGTTCTTTTTATTATTTCAAACTATGAAACTAGCAACAAAAAATAGTAAACACAAAAAACCGTTGTCATCAACATAACTTTTTATCTGAAAAACTTTTTGGTAAACTGCATTCACCAAACTTATTTGCTCTTTGAAAGACTTTGAGTTTGGATCTTTGAAAAACTTTGAATAACTTTAATTTGGATCTTTGGAAGGCTATGAAAGTCTTTATGTTAGGATCTTTGGTTGATTACTTTTTTGATTTGCATAGACTTCCCAAGTAACATGTTTGGTTTTTTAATTTTATCATTTTTAATGAACCAAGTTTTCATGAAATCAGGCTTGAATTTTGTGCCTATTCTTTTATATGGTTTTGCCAACCATCTTTCTCTTTGTTCTTAATCAATTTCCTTTTTCTTCTGATTAGAATGACCAAACGATTCTCTTAACCCATCAGCCATCATTGTTCTTGATGAATTTAATGCTTATCATACCAAAGTGCTCCAGTATGAGTGGTTTTACTAACAGTAAAGTTAACTTCGTTAACTTTGTGACTTATTTTCCTGACAATCCAAATCACTTATTGTCACTTCTTAATTTGTCCCTTGCCTCTGATCCTAGCATGTGCCTAATTTTTTTTTTTTTATCCTTTAGGAAGTTCAAATCATGCTATCATCATGATTATGGAATGATCTCAATAAAACATTTTTCTTTTTAATCAGAGTCAAATTATAATCCCATTTCTTACTTCTCACAAAAAAGTTGCTTTTGGTTAAGATTTTCTTAGCAACGGTCTTTGGACAGATGTCTTTTGTTTACCTGCTAAAAATTGTGTCTAAAACTAATTGAATTCTTGGATTCTTTTAGATTCAAGTAGGCAATTAAATTGTCAACATGAAAGTTTAGCTTAATCATATCCAATGACATCATCATTATCATCATCATTGTCATATCCAATGACATCATACCCAATGACACTTTGTTTTTGTGCAGTTTCTATTTACAATCCTAATCAATTTTGTTGTACTTGTTTTGTCATTTCTTCTGAAAACAAATATATTTTTTATAATTAGAAAAAATTCATGAAAATTTATGAAAATATTTTCTGAAGGTTCATTACTCTCAAATTATCTCAGAAATTCTAGAGATTTTGTATTATCAACAATAGACATCTATCCCCAATATATGGATCTTATAACCTCTCCTGAGGATATAATAGATATCTATACCCAATATATGGATCTGATCTTATAACCTCTTCTGAAGATATAATAGATAACAATAGATATCAACAATAGACATCTATAATAGATATCTATCCCCAATATATGGATCTGATCTTATTGTATGAAGATGACCTCTCCTGAAGATGACGCAGAACTATTTATAAAGTATTTTTACTCTTAAATCTAATCTTTAAAATAACAAACCTAATTTATCCATTCTTTTTGATACCAAATCTTTCCATTCCAATCGTATAATTAATGCTTGAATGACATCACTTTCCTTTATTTTTAAAAACATCTGGGATACAAAAAAGTTCAATTCTTGGTTTATTGCGTATCATCTATATTAATGATCAATCTGACAACAATGTTCTATTTGACACAACTATATTACATTAACTATGCATTCTATTTATAAAGTGGTTCTAAGATAACACAATCATGTCTCTAATTCTAATAAAACATCACTTTTAGATCGACAGACAGCAGATCTTTAACATGATGTTTCCTCTCCTGAAAGTTTAAGCTTGAATTGGCTGTTGAAATTAAGCTTGCAGTTACAATTAAAGGATGCAAATGAATGATAAGTCACCTAAGATTGAGCTTTGATGGAACAAGAGATGATAGCTTGCTTATGTAGTGACCATGGTAGGATTTGTAAAAAAAAGAAAATAATGTAACAATGATACAGGGCTCAAACTTGACAGCTTTGTAGGTCCAACTACATTTACAATGCATATTTAATTCTTGTCTTAAAGAGAATAGTGTTTATCAAAAGACATAATCCAAATATAACTTGTCTAAAAAAACATAAAAGGCCATCTATAGAAGACCCACTCCAAATAATACAACAGTGTTACAAACTAAGATGAAAAAAAAATAAGAATAGTAAAAAATTCCATACAAAAACATACATA